TTTACAATTATTACTTCTTTTGTTCTTCACAGTCTCTGGGATTTCTGGGAGGTAGAGCCAGACCTGCCCTCCCACCCCACCCCCACCCCAGACTGCCCAGCAGCTTTCAGCTTGTTTGCATATTGTCTTCTCCTATTAGATTGCAAGCTCCCAAAGAGCAGAGACTGTCTTTTATTTTGTATCCATAGCGCTTGCACAGTGCCTGAGACATAGTACACACTTAAAAATGGTTTTACACACACACACACACACACACACACACACACACACACACACACACACACACTTTGCTTCTGCAAGGATCACAAGATCATATTCTTGAGCCTGAAAGGGTCCTCAGAGACCACTTAGCCTAATACCTCATTTTTAATTTAGGCCCAATAAGAGTGATTAGCCCAAGGTCACACAGCTAGTTAGTGTCAGAGGCAGGATTTGAATCCAAATCTTCCCAAATCCAATTCCCTTTGGCTCTTGCCTCTCCGTTCCCCGTAGGGGTTGAACACAATGACTTGAACCCTGGATACCTGGGTTCCCTACTCTGCCATACACATACCTCTCTGTTCATCCTCATTCATTCCACAGGGGGTCAGGTGGGGGCATGACAGCCAACCTGGGCTCATCCTCTCAGAAGTACTAGGGGGCAGATAGGGGACCAGGAAGAAGAGGGGAAGGTTGGGAGCACACGTTTTGTGCCTTCTGAGCACACTTTCTCCCTGACATAACATGTTCCTCTTCCACCTCAGCGGGCACAGGGAGGCAGAGACACATCTCTGCTGAAGGAGAGGGAGGAAGGAAAGAAAAAGCTTCACCTCCAAGGCCTAGGCCAGATCAGAGGATGAAGTGGGGACTCCCGGGCTTAAGAGAATTAATCCCTCGGAGCCTCAGTGTCAGCCCGCGGCCCGCAGCTCAGACTGCTTGGGTGAGCTCTTTCCTGGACTGAAACCGAGCTGCAGATCTGTGGGGCACGTGGGCCAGAGGAAAATGTTAAAACCCATTGAGAGAGGGCACTCCTAGACACACAGACACACCCAAGCACAGCAACCCTGACCTGTTCCCTCCTGGCCCGACCCAGAACACCCACTCACAAGAAGGTGAATAAAACCAGCCTGTGGAAGGTAGCTGATTTCATCATCTAATAGCAGTAGTGACAGTGATATATGTGAGAGAAATAAGAACTGGTGATTTCATTGGTGTAGGGAGTTCCCAGGTGAGGAAAAACCCCCACCAATGCAGATCAGCACCTTTTCTATAACTTAGAGTCTTAGAGAGCTACCAAGCACAGAGAAGATAATGACTTACCCAGGGTCTCACAGTCAATATTGTTGTTGTTCATTCTTCGTTTTTGAAGAGAACTAAAGACATCGTGGGTGATGTCTTGACCTTCACGTGAATTGGACTTCAGTGAGGCAGAGCTGCATGAAGTTGTCAGCCTCACTCTCTCTTCTTAAGTCACAGACAATATAAGACAGGCCTTTGAACCCAGGTTCTCATGGCCCCAAGAGCAGCTCTTTATCTCTGATGCAGGGCCCCATCTCTATCTCTGATGCAGGGGCCACCTCCTTCTATCTCTGATTCAGGGGCTGCATCTCAGTGCTAGAGGAGTTGACATTGTTATAGGGCGGCTCTTTCGATGTACACAATAGCCCTGGGGGTAGACCCGAGGGGCATTATTATCCCCATTTGACAAAAGAGCAAGCTAAGGCTCTGAGAAGCTGGAAGTGAATTCATAGAGTCAACAAGTTCAGAGAAGAAAAGCACAAAAGAGCAAATAACTCCACAAACTAAAAACTCACCCAGAGTTTGAGGAAGTGGCCAGCAGAACAGGGATCAGCCTGGTTCTTTCTGCTTGATGCCGGAGGGCAGAACTGGGAGTAAGGTTACAGAGGCAGGGTTTAGCTCAACATGAGAGGAAGAACTTCCTCACACTGAAAGAAGGTTGGGAGTGGAAAGGGCTACTTCATGCTGAAAGAGTAGTGAGTTTCCCATCCCCAGAAATCTTCAAGCAAGGTTTGGGTGACCATTTACTGTGGATGTCATAGACAGGATTACTGTTCGTGTGTGAGAGGGGAAGAGACCATTCTGAAATTCTGTGATTCCGAAGATTATTTCAAACTGGTTTAAATTCAACCCTGAGGGGGTCTAAAGAATGGGGCAGGGTGGAGTTAGACATGATATCAGCAAGTCCTTTTCCATAAAGCTAGAATTTGGAGTCAGAAGAGATAAATATTTCCTCTCGCTATGGGATTAGTCTCTTCATTGTAACAGAAAGAAGCGGGATTTTCCTGTGGATAGAACACTGGACTTGGAACTGGGAAGACCCGAGTTCAAATCCCTTTTTACTAATTACTAGCAGTTTAACCTCAGAGAGGAGTGTCAGACAAATGTTTTGAAGAAAAACTCCAAGCAGGAGCAAGCAGCTAATATTTGTGGGGCACTTAAGGCTGCCAGGCACTTTACAGAGATGATCTAGTTTGATCCACACAGCAGACTGTAAAGTAGGTGCTGTTACTATGATTTTACTCATGAAGAAATTGAAGTCCAGCGGGGGAGTTACTTGTCCAAGGCCAAGCAGCTGGTAAGTAGTAGAGGCAAGACTTGAACCCAGGTCGTTTGACTCCTGATCCAATGCCCACTGTGTGCAGCTGTGCTCTGCCAAGCCCCAGAAGCCCGGACAGAGAAGACTAAAGAGCTTCCCGGCCATAATTACCGAGCCCTCTTTGCCTCTTACTGCTGATTCCTCCCGGGCTGGTTCTTAGCTCGTTTTCCCCATCCTGCCTCCTATTACGAGATATAACAGCATCCCGGACTGTCCCGGTGACTCCTGTCCTGCCACTGGACTTCGATGACTCAGGGAGACAGAGTGAGGCCGATGGCTTTAGGCCCCTCTGCTTCTCTTAAACCCAATCCGTGAGCAAGCCAAGACATCACCCTCTGCTTCTACTGCTCCTTTTTCAAAGGAAGGATCACAGCAGCAGCAGCAGCTCTAAGCAATGGTTGCTCAGACTCAAGCTTTGCAGCTCCAATCCATCCTCATTGCAGTTGCAGAGGGATCTTCCCAAAGGTCTGACCAAGTCACTCCCCTGTCCAATAAATTCCAATGATTCTGTCTTGTCCCTAGGACCCAACTGAAGCTCTTTTTCGGTCATTTACAGCCTTCACAATCTGCTTCCTGCCGACTTTCCCAGCTTTCTTACATCCTACTCCTTTTCATATTCCCTAAATCCAGCCCAACCAGCCTTTTGTTTCCCATGCCTGGCTGTTCCTAATGCTTGGAATGTGCTCCCTCCTCACCTCTAGCTGCCTGGATCCCCGGCTATTTTCAGGCTCAGCACCTTCTCCACAGTGCCTTTCCTGCTCCCTCCAAATCCCCTTGAATCTCTTTGAACCTCTTTGAATCTACTCACATATGTACCTTAGAATGGAAGGCAGGGCTGACTCACTGTGGTCTTTGGGACCCTAGCACCAAACACAATGCCCCGGCACGTGGGGGTACATGATAAATGCTCCTTGATGGATGGATAGACTGGACCACCCTTCCCAGAGAGCCCCACCCTGAGGCCTGATTACTTTAGGGAAGGTCTCCTTGTGGGACTCTGCCTCTCACAGTCCCCCTCCTCCACTAGGAGGCCCTCCAGAGCCCCTCCAAGCACAGTGTCTGTGCCCCACACCTACTTATCTGGGACAGGGTCTCAGGGGCCACCAAGTTCAATGCCAGGCAGAGGTGTGAATTAGCAGTCAGTCTGAGGCTGCCTTCATAACAACAGCTCACATCTTTTGCCAGGTACTTGGATCTCCTTGGATCTTCACAATACCCTTAAGAAGTGTGTGCTGGGGACACAAGGGTCTCTGCCCTCAAAGGGCTTATGTGGTATTTAAGAAGTGTTTGTTCAGTCGAATTGAATTGTCTGCCAGGAAAAGATCCTTCGCAGGCCCACAGGAGGCCAATCAATCCCCAAGCATTTGTTAAACACCTGCTTTATGACAAAACTAGTCTTTGCTCTAGGGTGACTGAACCCCTCCAGAGCTCTGGTGTTCTGTCCAAAGGGACCAAATGTATCTATATTGGCATCTCTAAAACGTGTAAGAGATAAGTACAAGGTCATGGGGTGGGGGTGGGGGACATCAGGGAAGGAAGACAGGAGCAGGTAATGATCCTGAAGCTACAGATACACATACTTAGTTCCAACATAAGCCCCTGTCAGGGCCAGGTCTGGGCCTTTTACCCAAGCTCCCCCAGGGGAGAACGTGGCCTCGCCTTCGTGTGGTGACATATAAAAAGTTCGAGAGACATGGTTTCTGGGGAATTAATCGTTTATTAATCATGCCAGCAATAATTAATAAAAGGGTCAGTGTCACTGTCAAATGCCAATGAACCCCCCAGAGAATCCACTCAATGCTTATATGCCCTTGGAAGAGGGGGTGTTCCTAAGGGAAGCAATCAACTCTGATTGGTTAACAAGTAATGAGAGAAAGAATGTTATAATGAGAGGTGGGCTTATTCCAAAGAGGGGCTGGGGTAGGGGTGGAACATGACTTTAATCAGTCTTGGTCAAATCTATGCCCACATCACCCTGGGTAGAGTAATCTAAATGAAAGGAGGAATCCACTCCCATTCAGGCTTTTGGGACTAAACCACAATGGGCAGAATCGCAAATTCACTTACATTAGTTTTCCAGGTTGGGTGGGGTCTGATCAAAATTGAGGGGAATGTTAGAGAATGAGGAAAAGGAAGGGAAAAAATCCTGGAGCTTCCCAGTAGTAAATGGTTATGAACATAAGAGAAATATGCCTTTCTCTCCATGTGCTAGGAACAGCTCAGCAGGAGAATCTGTCCCACAGGTGGGACAGGGCTTGGTGCCTTGGGAGAGTCAGTAATGAAATCCGGAGTTATGTGGCTTGTGGGTCATTGCCGTGGTGGTGGTTGTGGGGGAGGTGGGGGGACCTGGGGTGGGGGAGGGCAAATGCCTTCTAAAAGACAGGATCCCAAAGGATTGCACGGATGGACATTTTTTTTTTCAACAGGGAGGAAAAAGAAGCTCCTCCTTCCGTCTTCTGGGCTGAGAAATCATCTCTTCAGGGGCAGGCCCTTGAGAAGTGGAGAGAGGCGATCTTTTAAGAGAAGCCCAGCTTTGCCAATTCTCAGCGGAGCCACTGAGTGAGATCCTCTGGTGCTGAAGGGGCAGCAGAAGGTAGTGGAGGGGGCAGCCCTTGGGTTTGATTTCTGAATCTGCTACTTACAGCTGTGTAGCCTTGGGGGCAGCTGGGTGGGGTTCACAGTATTGGTTAATTTTGCAAAACTGTTCCCACTCTTCCTTTCTTTTTTATTCTTTACTATAAGGTCTGGTTCTCTACGAGGAAAGAGAGGAACATTTAGAAAGAAGGGGTGATTGTTTAACATCATTGGCTGAAGTTCCAAATGAGGTGTTTTCCCCTTAGTATTATTAGATGAAAATCATTTAATCAGCCAGCCTTAAGTAGCTTTTGAAAGGGATGTATTTAAAAAAAAAAAGAAAGGAAGGAAGGAAGAAAGAGAGAGAGAGAGAGAGAGAGAGAGAGAGAGAGAGAGAGAGAGAGAGAGAGAGAGAGAGAGGAGAGGAGAGGAGAGAGAGAGAGAGAGAGAGAAGGAGAAGAGAGAAGAGAGAGAGAGAGAGAAGAAAGAGAAAGAAAGAAAGAAAGAAAAGAAAGAAAGAAAGAAAGAAAGAAAGGTGTTTATTAAGATGGTACAATAAAGACAGTTGGTAGAGAACATGCCCCACAAAGTTCTGTAACACACTCTCCCTCCCCCTTGTGCATACATAGTTTAGAGAAAAGCAAATTGAGTCATGTGTGGCCAAGGAGTGGCTCACCTCTGACGGCTGTATGTCTTTTTATCCCATTCATGCGATTGCTCAAGAAGTTTTCCCTGGACATGGTGAAGTCTCGTTGCTGGGCTCCTTGTGAAGTCATGAGTCCAGGCTGCACTTAGCAGACAATAATGCAATCACTGCCACTAGCTGTTTTGGGGGCACCACTGGGACATGGGTGGGAAGACAGGAGCTTCTGCCCTTTCCTAAGAGAGATGGGGAGGTGGCATGTGCTTTGACACTGATGGGAAGCCAGAGAAGGCGCTTACATCTGAGGAAGAAGATGTCTTTGTTGTTGTTATTCAAAAAAGAGACAGTATAGGAGAAAATTGAGCCCTGTCCTAAAATAGGCATATAGTTTTGGGTGCCGTGGATGTATTTGGAATTAATAAAGGCAACCCAATTTCTCTCCCTAGGTTCCCTTTATGAGATACCACAGTGTTAGAGAAGAGCGAGTCTTCAGTGGAATGGGTAGAGAAAGCTATGTAGAGCTGACAGATCAAGTAGCTTGGCAGATGGCCACAAGGTATTTTTTAGTGTCAACTAAGAGCTGACAGTGTGTGATGGGTCAGGCTTTCCTGGTGACGTAGCACATGGCTGCTTATTCACTCCTGGCAGTACATACTCAAAATGTGGTCTCGGAGACAGAATCTCCCAAAGAATCAGCATTGGGTACAATGTCCCAGAAGTCACTGTGGAGGCTCTAGAATGATTTTGTGACTTAAAGCTCCCCTCTAATATCTCACTGAGGTGTGGAGGCAACACTGGGGACCTGAGGCTCTGGCCACTGAACCATCTCTGGCAGGTCTTACCAACTTGGGACAGCTTCCAGGACAAACCCATCCATAGTTGTGTTTTAGGGGCAGCTAAGTTGCACAGTGGTTAGAGCACCAGCCCTGAAGTCAGGAGGACCTGAGTTCAAATGCAGCCTAAGACCAAACATTTGACACTTACTAGCTGTGTGACCCTGGGCAACTCACTTAACCCCAATTGCCTAAAAAATGAATAAATGGTTGCATGTTTATTCTTGTTATATCTTCAAAGTAAATATCTCTCTGCAAAAACTAATTAATGCTAAGTGGTTAAATGGAATCGGGTTGCCAGGCATTGGTATTTAGCAGTGGTTGTTGTTAATTCGTCCTTCTTTCTCGAAGAGGACCATGACATCAGGGAGGTGAGGTGTGACATGCGAGTGAATTGAATTCAAATGAGGGAGGGCTGTGCCAAGTGACCAGCCTCACTTTCACCTCTGGAGCCATCTGGGTCCAGTGGCAAGATATAGATCAGGATGACTGGAGATGGCCCCCATTTAGCAGCCAGAGAAAACACACCTGGCAAGGGCTTGAGCCAATGGCATTGCAGAAGAGAAAGCCATCAGTCTCTCAGGGTGCCCATAGAAGCCTGCAGGGGAGAGCCAGCAGCCAGGCTCTGGGAAAGACACCAGAGAATCACAAATTGTATGTCTGTTGTCCAAGACCCAAAGTGTCTAAAAGAAAAGAAAACCAACAGACAAGCCAGAAGAGGGACAGACTTTCCAGCCACAGTCATTCTTAAAGTCATCAAAGTTTTCAGATCTACTTTGGTAGAAGAAGTTCCCTGACTCTCAAAGTCAGATGCTTGCAATATGAAAGTTTAATGTTAATTAAGTTCTAAAAATGGGCTACACATCCCCTCCGTCTAGGCCCTGGGATCTTGTCAGTACAGGCACTTGCTACACCATGAAGATCTCAAGCCATCTATAAGCTGTTGGTCTCAAGAGTAGCCTGAGGCCTCAGAGAGATTCAGCAATTTGTCAAGAATGATGAAGTTTTTAAGCACCACACACTGGAGGGAGGCCCACAGCACATAGGCTTGAAGACCTAACATTTTCTCAATTGCCTGACATATCTGTGCAGTGACCCAGCCATGGGTGAAGCAGTGTCTTTACATCTCTGGTAGACCAACAATACCCCTGATGGGCCACTGAAAAACACACCAGACATTTTACAAATGAGGAAACTGAGGCAACCGAGAAGCAAATTAAGACATTTGAAGTCCTTCATTAAGAAGAACAGTTCATATTCAGAGCTGCAAGGGACCTGCAAAATCATCATACACATTTTACAGATGCCACCTGATATTTCTGTTGCTCTAAGCAGTTACAGAGCAATTTACATCCGATATCTCTTTATAGCAACACTGAAGTTACTACTATTTCTCTTCCCCTTTTGCAGATTTGGAAATTGAGGCCCAGAGAGGGGAAATATTTATGTTGTCCAAAGTTCAACAGCTAGGAAGGGATAAGTCAGGATTTGAACCCAGGCTGTTTGATGCTAAATCCCATACTCTTTCTCCACCTGTCCTGGGGTCTCACTTAAGTGGTTCTGACTCCCAGACAAGCATTTCAAAGTGTTTAAATCTTTGGAAAAACTTCATCGTTTTTTCTCCTTTTCAGACCTGGGAGAGATGAATGGACAGATTACAAGGCTGTGAGAGATGTGCCAGCCACTGGTTAGGTAGAGAGCCAGGCACACAATTGTGCCTGGAACCTTGCTAGGTTATTTGCTACACACACACACACACACACACACACTGTTAATTCAAGTTCTCCTTACAGAATATAACAGCTAACTAGCATTTATATAAATAACACTAGGTTTGAAAAGCACTTCATATGTGGTATTTCATTTTCTCCTCACAACAAGCCTCTGCTATTAGGGCTATTATTAATCTCCAACTTACAGACGTGGGAGGCTGGGAGATGGTTAAGTGACTTGCCCTGAGTCACAGAGCTGACAAGGGTCTAAGGCAGGATTTGAACTGAGATCTTCAGGACTCAAGACCAGTACCCAATCTTTGGTACCTCATAGCTGCCTGAAATGTCGTTTCCTGGCCCATGAATTCCCCACTCGAATTAGAATTAGAATCCTCCACTGTAACAATGAAGGAAAGCAGGTCAGCACCAAGGCCCAGTCTGACTACTTACACCTTATTCCACGCCTGCAGTCCATCACCTCCGCCTACTGACAGGAGGCATATTTCGCTGGGTTTCATGCTTAGTTCTTTCAAGTCACAATTCCCACCCTGCTCCAACCCTATCTTTCAGAGATGGGACCTGAGAACCAGAAAGGATGAAGGAGCAGGTCCAAGATTCAAGCCCAGTCCTCTGACCCCAGACTCAGGACTCTTTTAATTGATAGCACTGACCCATGCAACAGGGGAAGGAACCTGGCTGGGACACATACATGAGCATATATGGCATAGCCAGAACAAAAACGAGATATCAGTATTCCAGACACCCTGCGGGCACACGGTGATAGGCCTGGAGACAGCTCTGAGAAGGGCCTGAGGGTGTCGCCCCGATTCCCGTCTCTGCTCAAACACTGGTCTCTGTTTCTGTCTCTTGCATCTCTACCTTCAATCCAGCCCCACCCAGCTCCCCCAAAGGAAATGAATGACCTTAAACTTGCTCTTGACACCTGAGACAGTTCAGAGGAACTGAGAAAGAAAATCCCCTTCTAAGTAAAAAATAAAATGAAATAAAAATACTTTTCTGAGCGGGGGTAGTTTCATGGAGCTGGGGAGAGGTTTGGGGGTAGGGAAAAAGTCTTGGGGAAGGCAAGCAGCAAATACTAAAAATTTCAAATCAAAGCCACTTAGCCAACCCCTAGCCCCGCCCCGCCCCTCCTCCTCCCGGCCTCTTTGGGCCGGCGCTTCCCGAGCCCAGCGTCAGAACCGAGGGGAGGCGGTGTGTCAGTAACGGCTGCCGAGTCCGGAGACCTCTCCCTCCGTAAGCTTGGAAGGTCTAGAGCGCTGCCCTGCGCCCATAATTCTACCCAAGAAATTAGCTTTTTCAAGGGCTGTGGTAGCTCTTCAAGGCTATTAGGGCCCTGTCCTAGGTCCCCAGGCAGCCCCGCTGAGGATATCCAGCACGCACTCCCCCGCCTTGCTTTTACCCCACACTTTTGGTGGGGCAAGAACTCCTGAGATAAGGTTGGGGGTGGGCGTGGGGGTATTGCGAGACCGCCCTGTTTCTAGAGCCAGAAGTACTGGGTTCCAATTCAGACCTTCCATTTACTAGTTTTGTGGCCCTGGCCAAAAGGCTTCCCCTTTCGGGACCTCGGTTTCCCCCTCTGCCAAATGACGACCTTCTGATCTCCAAGCCTCCCCGGGTTCCTGGACGCTGTGTTCCATGCTCTGGGCCCCACATGAGGCTGCCACGCTCAGTAGGCGCCCCAGGGCTGGCCAACCAGCCGAGCTCCGGTGAGACCCAGGCGGGCCCCAGGTGCGGCAGCAGCCGCGGCAGAGTAGGCGGCCGCCCGCTGCCCTGGTCCAAGTACCCACCTCTTCGGCAAGGGCTTTTTCCTTTTCTTCATGGTATAGACACCTCCCGCCGGCAGCATGGCGAAGGCTGCTCCCCGCTCTCACCCTCCTAACCCTCCAGAGGACCCAGGGGCCCGGCCCTCCGACCGGGCCCAGCTAGATGAGAGGAAGGGACGAAGGCAGAGAGCGGAGGAGGGAGGGACGGATTCCTACGGGCCAGAGAGTACAGTGGGGAGACAGGCGCAGCCACCTCAAGTTCGCACGCACGCCCCCCAATCCCAACCAACTGCAGCGGGATGGGAAGGAGGAAGACAGCTTCCTCAGGGGCTCGGGGCTGGAGCTGGGGCTCCCAGAGGGAGCTGGTGTTGCGGCCACACTATGGGCAGCGCGTGGTGGGGGCGCCCTGGCAAGAACCCCGAAAGCCGCAACAGTCCCAGCTGCGGGGCGCTGCTGCCTCTGCTGCCCGTACGTCTTACAGCTCTTCAGCCTCTGCCCTGGCGTCCGCAGTCAGAGCTCCGACTGGCCGCTCAGGGTCTGCCCTCCTCCTGCAGCTGCTGCCTGAGGCAGCACTTGGGGTGGGGGGTGGCGATCACTCCCCCCCGCAGCTTACCAGCCCTGCTGCCATCAGCAGGGACCTGCAGGGTCCGAGAGTCCGCGGGCCAGGGAGGGAGGAACTGAGCTCTGCGACAGCCGGGTGGTGGCTGCACTGAGAAATGCCCAATCCTGGAAACCAGCGTGCTGGAGGAGGAGGCTGAAGCCAGAGAGAAGAGGAGGAAAGAGGAGAAGGAAGGGGCAAGTGAAAGGAGGTGATAGAAGGAGAGAAGAGAAAGGAGGAGGGTGAGGAGGTAAGAGGGGAGGGAGAGAAAGAGGAATAAAGGTAGGAGGAAATAGGGAGGAAGAAGAGAAAAAAGGAAGGATGAGGAAGGTGGGAGGGAGAGGAGGGAAAAGAAGAGAAGGAGGGATGAAGAAAGATGAGGTTGGAAGAGAGGAGAGGAAGAGGAAGGAAGATAGAGGGAAGAAAGGGAAGAGGAGGAAAGAGGGGAAGAAGAGTGCAGCCTTTGTGTCCCCTCCCAGCGCTCTTGGCCTTGGCCATTCACCCCTAAATGGGGGATAGCTGAAGTTGGCTGTTTCCTTTTTTCAGCGTGAGAGGACTTTGTATTTCCTGCCCTCCAAGGCAAATCGAAGTAATGGTCTGGGTACTTTCCCTTCCAGGGAAAGAAATTGCACAGACTCTTCCAGAGGCAGACTGAGGCAGAGGAAATGGAATTGAAAGGCTGAGCATAAAATGATGGGGCTTGCTTTGTATCCTGCCTCTGACCTTTACCATCTGTGTGGTCTTGGATCAGTCTTGGCCCCTCTGGTACTCACTTTCCTCCTAGGTGTAGTGAAAGAGGTGGTGGAGATGATTTCTAAGGCCCCCTTGGAGTCTGAGCTATGATCCTGGGAAGTTGGAGGGGCCCTCAGGGAGATCATGTGCTCCAACCTAATATCTAATGCAGGAGTCTTGTCTACAGTATCTAATCTCTTCTTGAACACTTCCCAGTGACAGGGAGCTCACTACTAAAAAGATGCTCTGCTCCTCCCTACCCCCTACCCATGCTGGATGGTGGAAATTCTATTCTTCCACTGAGCCAAATCTTGCCCTCACCTCCTGAAAGACTACTACTTCTGGTCCTTTCCTTTGGGGCTACACAGAACAGTCTGCCTCTGCCACTTTCTACCTGTGTGACCTTGGACAAATTATTTTCCATCTCTTATCCACAAAATGATGTGTGGGGCTAGACAGCCTTTGAGAACCCTTCCAGATTGAGGTTTATATCCTATGAATTAGACTCCCTCTTAAATATGACAGTCCTTTAAATGTGGCCTGACAACCATCCTGTCCCCCTCCCCTCATCTCCAGCCTTCCCTTCTCCTGGCAGCTGGGTTAACCTAGGTCCCTCAGCAGTTTCTAATCCCTCTTCTCCCTGAATGACCTCCTTGATTCAATGAAACATTTAGCCATAGAGGGGGGCCCCAGATGCTGCCCAGCCAGTTCAGAGCCCATTGAGATCCTTACTTCTCTTGCTCTCATTTCCCTCTCTGAAGTTACCACCTTGGAGATGCCGACAGAGCTTTGTGGAAATTAAACCATCCTCCCCAAAACCTGGGCCAGAGTGGGCATGTCCCCTGCCCCACCACCCATCATGTGAACACTGATGAGCCTGGGTCACAGTGTGCTCAGCATCTTGTCTGAGGTCGACAGCATCTCAGAGCAGGGAGAAGTCCAGGCCTTTACCCCCTGCTCCCAACCCCCTTACCAGACTGTAGGGCTTCCCACTCAACTGTTTGTTTCCCTCTCAGCTCCCACCCTTGTAAATTATTGACATGAGACACACAAAGGCTAGCAGTTCTAGAAAGCTCTCTTTAGACCAAGCAGTTCTATTGAGGCTAAATACATGACACTGAGTTTCCCAAATGTAAGGAGAGAAAATGGTTCCCTCTGTCCCACGTGGATGAGCAGGGCTGGGTCCACACCACTAAAGGGAAGGTAGAAATGAAGAGCAGTGACACAGAAAGGGGCTGAGGCAGGTGGGCAAGGTGGCCACTCTCCTTGGGCCTCCTTCCACAAAGGTCTCAAACCAGTTACTCCAATACACAAAAACTTCCGTAAATGTCCCGTTTACTTCTGTCCCACTTAAAGAAAACAGTGCAGCAGGCTGATGGGGAGCTAGAGTTCTCTCCTTCCCTGTCAATCCTGAGTCCAAGCCTGGGTGACCCCTTACGTCATGGCCATGCTGGAGAGAGGAATCTTTCTCAGGTATGGCTTGGACTCCTCCTGGCTCTAAAATCTGTGTTCTGCCAAAAAGAATTGGAAGGTGACTATGGGTGTTGGAAGCACAAGGAATGAAGCGGGATTTGGTCAGGCAATCCACCAGCACTGACTTTGAGCCTTCTGCGGGTCAAGCAGTGTTTTAGGAGCTGGGGATACAAAGACACAAAATGAAGCAGTCCCTGCCCTCAAAGATCTTACATTTTATCAAACAAACAATGAATAAACAAATGGCGTTGCTGTCCTTCAGTCCTTTCAGTCATGTCCGACTCTTGGTGACCCCATTTGGGACCTTCCTGGCAGAGATACTGGAGTGGTTTGCCATTTCCTTCTTCAGTGGGTAAATAGTAGATTCACAGTATATGCAGAACGTAGACAAGCTAAATAAAAGGCAATTTTAGTCCTTAAGGGAGAGCAGCAAAGACCCGCTGGTGCTTGAGCTGAGCCCTGCAGGAAGCAGGATATTCCAAAGGGGGCGGGGGTGAGTAAGGAGAGTATTCCAAGCATGGTGGACCAGACTGGCCAGCGTGGTCAGCTGTGAAGTAGTGTGCTGAGTTTATGAGCTCATAGCAAGCAGGCCAGTTGGAGTACATGAAGAGGGCTGATGTATACTGTCCCAATGCACAAAGGTAGGCTAGGGTTAGAGTTAGGGTATTGTGAGTTTTTAAATACCAAATAATGGAGTCTGTGTGGGGGCCTCTAGGCAGCGACATGCTACAGCTACCTTAGAACTGGAAGGAAAAGCCAATGATT